GGGGCGTTGGTCAACAAGCAATAACATTTTTAAGAAATATAGGATTATTTATTATTTATTAAGGGTAGAATAGTCATTTTTAGTTTCCTTTGTTTAGCCTATATATACTCTCTTTGTATTTAGGTTAAACCGTCTTTTAGCATTCAATTAATTACGTAGTATCAATGAAACCCTAGTCTCCTCCTTTTTCTTCTTTATTTTCTTTGGACTGTTTAATATGGTATCAGAGCCAGATTTCATGGGACAAAACTTAATCTCAAATTATTTTTGGTATTTCTGCAATTTGTTAAATCTGGTATTTCTGCAATTTGGTACTTCTGCAATCTGTTTTTTTTTTTTTTATTATGGCTACTGAAAGAAACGATTCCCTTCAGTCTGTGAGTGTGAGGTTGGATGGAAAGAATTATTCGTATTGGAGTTACGTGATGAGAATTTTCTTAAGCGTAAAAAGATGTGGGGATTCATTAGTGGAACTTCTGTGAAACCTAAGAATACCAATGAGGGTTGTGCTGCTTTGATAGATGCCTGGGAATCAAACAATTCAAAAATTATTACTTGGATTAACAACTCTGTGGAGCATTTCATAAGTAGAGAGTTAGCGAAGTATGAGACAGTAAAGGAGGTTTGGGATCATCTGCAAAAATTATTCACTCAGTTAAATTTTGCAAAGCAGTATCAATTGGAGAATGATATACGAGCTCTTCATCAAAATAATATGAGTATTCAGGAGTTTAATTATGCTATGATAGATCTTTGGGATCAATTGGCCCTTACAGAATCGATAGAATTAAAGGTATGTGCTGTCTATATTACTCATAGAGAGCAGCAACGGTTGGTACAATTTTTAACGGCACTTCGCAGTGATTTTGAAGGACTCAGAGGTTCAATTTTGCATCGTTCTCCACTTCCTTCTGTTGACTCAGTTGTCAGCGAGTTATTAGCTAAAGAAATACGTTTTAAGTCTTATGCTGAAAATGGAATTCTTTCCGCTTCTAAGCCTTCTGTATTAGCAGCGTCTTCTAAGCCATCCTCTAATAATCAAAATAAGCCTTACACAAGGGTTGCCTTTGACGAGTGCAGTTTCTGTAAGCATAAAGGTCATTGGAAGGCTCAGTGTCCTAAGTTGAGACAGTCGAATCAATTGCAGCAGCAATCTCAAGCTTGGAAGCTTGGCAACCAATCACGATCTAATGCTTATAGATCACCACAATCTAATACTGCAGCAGTAGCTTCATCAAGTCCTTTCATTGATCCTAGTACTTTGGCTGAGCAATTTCAGAAGTTCCTCTCCTTACAGCCTCAAGCTATGTCTGCTTCTTCCATAGGTCAGTTGCCTCATAGTTTTTCAGGTATGTCACATTCTGTATGGGTCTTGGATTCTGGTGCTTCACATCATATGTCTCCAGATTCTTCATCTTTTGCTTCTGTGTCCCCTTCGTCCTCTATTGCTGTCATGACTGCTGATGACACTCCTATGCCATTAGTAGGTGTTGGTTCTGTTGTCACACCTCACTTGTCCCTCCCTAATGTTTATCATATTCCGAAACTCACATTAAATCTTGCTTCTATTGGTCAGTTATGTGATTCTGGTAATTTAATCACATTTTCCTCTTCTTCTTGTTATGTGCAGGATCTACAGTCTTAGAAGCTGATTGGGATAGCTGTAGGAAGGGTGGACTATATATTTTGGATGAGCTAAAAGTGTCAGTTGCTGTTGTCGCTACTAGTGTTGATTTGTCTTCGTTTCGTTTGAGTCCTTCTTCTTCTAGTTTTTATTTATGGCATTTTCGTCTAGGTCATGTTTCGTCGTCTCGTTTGAGATTTTTAGCTTTTACAGGGGCTTTAGGAAATTTACACCCCTGTGATATTTCTAATTGTAGTGGATGCAAATTGGCAAAATTTTCCGCTTTATCTTTTAATCGAAGTATTTCTGTTTCTTCTTCTCCATTTGATTTGATTCATTCTGATATATAGGGGCCTTCTCCTGTTGCCACAAAAGGATGGTCTCGATATTATGTTTCTTTTATTGATGATCACACTCGTTATTGTTAGGTTTATTTAATTAAACATCGTTCTGAATTTTTTGAGATATACTTAGCATTTCGTGCTCTTGTTAAAACTCAACATTCTACTGTTATCAAATGTTTTAGGTGTGATTTGGGTGGGCAGTGCACTTCTAATAAATTTTGTGAGCTGCTTGCTTTAGATGGAACTATTTACCAAATTTCGTGTACATATATTCCTGAGCAAAATGGTGTTGCTGAAAGAAAACATGGGCACATTGTTGAAACTACGCGTTCTCTCTTGTTGTCTGCATCTGTCCCTAGTGTGTTTTGGGGGTGAAACTGTTCTTATTGCTGTAGGTTTGATTAATACAATTCCATCTTTTCATATTTCAGGATTTTCTCCGTTCAAAAAGTTGTATGGGTATACCTCCGATTATTCTCTCTTTAGAATTTTTGGTTGTACTTGTTTCGTTCTTCGTCCTCATGTAGAACGCAACAAGTTGTCATCTCAATCTGCTATTTGTGTCTTTCTTGATTATGGTGAAGGTAAAAAGGGGTATCGTTGTTTTGATCCAATAACTCAGAAACTTTATGTGTCTCGTCATGTTGTTTTTCTCGAGCATATACCTTTCTTTTCTATTACATCCACTACTCATAATCTGACTAGATCTGATCTTATTCGTATAGATCCTTTTTCTGACAATTCTAATAGTTTGTCTTCTCAGGAGCCTACTACTTCAAATGTCCATTCTCATGTTCCTACCCCGTTGTCTTTACAACCAACTCGTACTAATCATTCCGCAAGTACTGACACTTTACTCCCCGACACACCTGAAACGTCCTCTTCTCCTACGGTCCCTCAAGCTCCGTCTGAGATTGTGGACCCGCCTCTACGTCAATCCATACGCATTCGTAAATCTACAAAGTTACCAGATTTTGCTTATTCTTGTTATTCTTCGTCCTTTTCTACCTTTTTAGCTTCTATTCATTGTCTCTCTGAGTCCTCTTCCTATAAAGAGACAATTCTTGATCCTCTTTGGCAGCAAGCTATGGAAGAGGAACTTTCTGCTTTGCATAAGACTGGTACTTGAGATTTGGTTCTACCTTCTGGTAAGAGTGTTGTTGGTTGTCGTTGGATGTATAAGATCAAGACTAATTCTGATGGGTCAATTGAGCTATACAAAGCTAGGTTGGTTGCAAAGGGATACTCTCAACAATATGGTATGGATTATGAGGAGACATTTGCTCCTGTTGCAAAAATGACTACTATTTGCACTCTTATTGCAGTAGTTTCGGTTCCTCAGTGGCGTATCTTTCAACTTGATGTTAAAAATGCCTTCCTGAATGGAGATCTTCAAGAAGAGGTTTATATGGCACCCCCTCCTGGTGTTTCACATGATTTTGGGTATGTTTGCAAGCTCAAGAAAGCGTTGTATAGTCTCAAACAAGCAACTCGTGCTTGGTTTGAGAAATTTTCTGTTGTGATCTCTTTCCTTGGATTTGCTGCTAGTAGTCATGATTCTGCTCTTTTTGTTAAGAGCACTGATGTAGGTCGTATCATTCTATCTTTATATGTTGATGACATGATTATTACTGGTGATGATATTGATGGTATTTCAGTTTTGAAGACAGAGTTAGCTAGACAATTTGAAATGAAATATTTAGGTTCTCTACAATATTTCTTGGGTATTGAGTTAGCCTTCTCACCCAGAGGTTATCTTCTTTCTCAGTCGAAATATGTTGTAGATATTCTTGAGCGGGCAAGACTTACTGATAATAAGATTGTTGATACTCCAATTGAGGTTGACGCGAAGTATTCTTCTTCTGACAATTTACCTTTGTCAGATCCTACTTTATACCATACTATTGTTGGGAGTTTGGTATATCTCACTATTACTCGTCCAGATATTACATATGCTGTTCATATTGTTAGTCAGTTTGTTGCTTCTCCCACTACAGTTCATTGGGCAGCTGTTCTTTGCATTTTGCGATATCTTCGGGGTACAGTCTTTCAGAGTCTGTTACTTCCATCTACCTCCTCCTTGAAGCTGCGTGCATACTCTGATGTTAATCATGGCAGTGATCCCACAGATCGCAAGTCTGTTACTGGTTTCTGTGTCTTTTTGGGTGATTCTCTTATTTCTTGGAAAAACAAGAAATAATCTATTGTTTCTCAATCTTCCACCGAAGCAGAATATCGTGTTATGGCATAGACTACTAAAGAGATTGTTTGGTTACGTTGGTTACTTGCAGATATGAGAGTTTTTCTTTCTCATCCCACCCCTATGTATTGCGACAACCAAAGTTCTATTTAGATTGCTCACAACTCGATTTTTCATGAACGAAATAAGCACATTGAGATCCTACTTTATACCATACTATTGTTGGGAGTTTGGTATATCTCACTATTACTCGTCCAGATATTGCATATGCTGTTCATATTGTTAGTCAGTTTGTTGCTTCTCCCACTACAGTTCATTGGGCAGCTGTTCTTCGCATTTTGCGATATCTTCGGGGTACAGTCTTTCAGAGTCTGTTACTTCCATCTACCTCCTCCTTGGAGCT